TCACATCAACCTCGATAAATCCCCTCGAGGGAAGGGGATGCAGCTGAACCCCTGTCCTCCACAGGCTCTCCTGTTCGGAAGCTGAATCTGCTCCCAAGGGCAGGTGCACACAACTTCGTTTCAAAGAGGTGAGCAGGGATCATAAGTGCTCTTTTAAAATGATAGTTCCCTCCTCTATTTTGAGGAGTCACTGAGGAAGTGGAACTCTACCCTGAAGGATCCTTATAATCCTCCTCTTAAAGGAGTGCTCTGGCCAGAAGGTGTGCTGAGCAGCCAGCACCTCATCCCTGGCCAGTGAGCAATAACTCCAGGGAAATATCTTCAACAGGAGGGCATCAGGTGTTAAGCAAAGATGATGAGCAAAGAAGTAACTGCTCTTCCAGCTTTATGAGAAGCAAACCTGGCACCAGCTGTGAATGCCAATGGGCTTCAGTGCTTAACTTCTCTGCATTAAATCCACCCGTCATGTCTAAAAAGATCTTTGAGGAAGAGGCTCAACAGACTATGTATTTAGTCTGCTTAATATCATCTTCCAGGCATCTACTGGTCATACTTAGAAACTGTCTTGCATGAGGTAGAGGATGCCTGAACTAGAGCGCTGCATGGCAGCAGCAGCAGCGTACCCAGCAGGTCCCCTCAACTCTGTACCGCCGGCGTTGCTGCCATCTGTAAGCTCTTGCATGTCTGCTCTAACCAAGTCCATCATTTTGGCTTTGCAACAGTCTTGTCAGGACTATGCTTCCAGTTAAGAACATGCAGTCCATGTTTCTCAGAGGCAAAAGGAATAAAATAAAAAACAAATAGCAAAATTAGTACCCCGATACTAATTTTACAGAAAATTATTTACAGAAGCACATAAAGGGATTTAATTTTCTGGAAAACACATTGGCTATATTTGCCTCAAGCCAGCATCAGGGCAGTGATATCTGGTTGACACTGAAGTCAGTGACATCTGGTTGACACTGAAGTTAGTGGCATCCATCTATGTTCCAGGGGCTACAGCTTTCTGATTGAAAGAGGAAAATGAAATTCCTTTTTAATTTCTTGCATGTCTATCCTACAATGGCCTATACAGTGCATGTATGTGAAATGTAAACAACACTTGCAGTTTTTGATGTGTGTCGTTACTGCTCCAAAATCTGAACCATCTTCATTTATATGTGAATCATGTAAGATAATCCTGAATACAAGTGCCATTTCCATGGTATCAAGATCCCTGCATCCCTGAACAGCATTCGTGATGGTCATGATAAGTTTCATGTTTTTCTACCATTACCTTAGCTCAGGAGTCCTGGGAAGGCTCTTTTAACTAAATAGTTTTTTTCTCTTTTTTTTTTTTCCATGACTCACTTTTTTCCCCTAGTCTTTTTTCTCTCTTATTATATCTAACAGCTTGTACTTGTTTTATAGCTCAGCTGGCATGGCCTCTTCCAATTAAAAATACATTCTACACAGTAGTCGATATTCTGTGTCTTTGTGTGAATATCCTGGAGCATTAATTTAAAAAATTAATGTCCAAATACCTTCTTGGCAAGAAGTTCTAGCCCATTCAGAGAGCACGAAGCTTTCCTATGGAGTGGGAGCTTACTGAGGAGACACGTTTCAATTTTCTCAAACAAGCTATTTCTTTAGTGCCTGGGTGTTTCAGAGATCTCCTGATTTATATGTAAAAATAAATACATAGACCTTGTTCCTTACCTCATTCTTTTTTTCCCAGCTGTTGTTTTGCATAAGACTGTGTTTTTCAAGTTTCTTAGACTCAACTGTATTACTAAGTTTTAGTGGCATAAAGAATAATAGTTGCTATGCCTCAACATTTATTTGGAATTATATAGACAAGCTCTAAGCCCCTGTGTGGCTAATGTCCACGGAATCCTTCCTGAGCAGCTGATGGTTTCATCCTGCAAATCTGTAGTCGTAAAAGTCAAAGCGTCGGGTGAGCCTTCTCTTTGTGGAAATTAATATAACTGGGAGCACTCCAACAAGGAGCAACCTGCAAGAGCTGTAGTGTTTTTACATCTGGGTTATTTGTTTACCTACAAAACCCACAGAGCTGACCTTTGGCATATTATGAAATACGAAAGCTTAACGATGACATTATATAAGTGGTTCTGCTCAGGAAAATTAGACTCAATATTCTGTTGTGTGAAGTAAGGCTGTGGGTCAAACGCGCTACTGATTTTTCTTTCATGACAGCTCAGCTGTGCAAGAACTACTTGCTCCAGAAGGAGAGAGAGATTTCTCTTGAAAGTTTGTTTCCTTAAAATGCGCATGGCTGGTAGCATATGCAGTACTTCAGCAAGAACAGGAAAGACAATTTCTGGATCTCAGATTAAACATTAGTTGTCTCCAGCAAAAATGTGACTGAGAGAAGCCCCACGCGCTGGGATCAGAGCTCCCTGTAGAAATCTCTGACTTCATTCGCCTGCCCAGTTTCTCTGTGTAGTCAAGCCTGCCTGGAGAACCGCTGTAAGAAATGGAGCTCCTAGAGGCACGGGTCACTGAATTGACTTGAGCTCCCAGAGGGGCCAGTGCTACATGTGTACCAGCACTCACAAGGGCTTTCTAAGAATCATGCTTTGAAATACAAGTATCTTCCCCCAGAGGCAGAAATTTCCCAGAGTTTCCTCAAACCAAAAATGTAGAGCACTGAGATCATCCAACGCTCAGTGGAAAAAACTGAACTTCCATAAAGAGGCAGTGGCTGAACTTTGCTTTCTGTTTTTTTTTTTTTTTTTTTCCTTTTTTTTTTTATCGCTTAGACGTCCTTTCTTGAGGCTGCAGAGGTGTTCTGTGCCTAAAAGCTTTGAAGTCGTTTATGTATGCTGGTCTTCTAGTCTGAATTAATGTTTTTCAAATGCAAACGCCAATTACAGGAGAAGAAAAATATTGTGCTAGACAAAGTGGATAAAAACATGGGGTCTCTAAAAGGGAACCTCTTGGGCACTCACTGTACAACAACTAAAGCATGAAAGTATTCTTAGGAAATACTCCTGTGCGTAAGAAGTGGCTGCTAATGATGACTTAGAAGAACACAAACAAATTTCAAGGTGCTTACCTTAAAGCAGGGTGTATTAAAAAATTCAAACTGCTTTGGGCTACTTTGACAAAGTTCTGAGGGGCTCCGACTCAAACAGGGACTCGCAAAGCTCCTGGTGAGATCCTTCCTTGCATCACTCATGAAAGTTTTGCTGTGGACGTTCACAGAACCGAGATTTCATTCCCTGATTTGAAAGAGATTTTCAGACTGCCAAAATGCGCAACTATTAAAGTTTTCTCACCAAACTAAATGCAAATATTCACTTTTTCACTGTTGCTGTTTGCTACCCAAGTAGAATGTACCAAAAGTTGAACCATTGATTTGATTCCCAGAGTAGCAAAGAGAGCGAGCCATTTAATGGAAACTCTAACTCAGACTCATGCAGGTATGGATACTTTGTGCAAATGAGATTTTGTTTAGCATTAACTTGAGTATTGCATGTCACAGCATATTACTGCAGCTGACGTGACGCGTCTAAGAGGCAGCCTGCGCTTTCTTGGGTATACATTGAAATGATTGCAGGGATTGCTAAATGCGTTAAAGCCTTACACTTGCTGCCTGTTTACCCAGGGATGAATTTTGCCCAGTGAGAACGTTTTAGTCAAGGACAGTCAGCAGTAATTAAACGACAGAAAACTACAAAGTAGGTAAATATTGCTTTAAGCTCATTTTACAAATGGGACATTTGAAACAAAAGGTTTCAGATGCAGTTTTTAAGTCTCTGGATGCACTTTAAAAATGCTGCAATGTGTTTTGAAACATAAATAACTGTCACTCTTTTGCTTGCACAAGGGTAAGTAACTGGTGATGTACGTTACGGTGACATCATTTGCTCATGAGCATTGAACTAAAAAAAGAAAATAACTCCAAAGGTTATTGTCCATAAAGATCAAGTACTGATGAGTGTATTTATACCAAAATTCTTGTGTAGCTTCTAGAAATTTTCCCGAACAAGCTTAAAAGGTCTTGTCCTGAAATGATGTCATTATAAATAGACATTTGCTCGACTCAATTTCAAAACAGGAACTTTTCTCAGCCAGTAAATAATTCCCAGATAATATCCCAAGTTGCTGTCATTAATGCTTAAACTGAAGTTTGTTATTTGGAATCCTGCCATTTAAAACAATCTGATGTCTCACTTTGTTGTCAGGAATTAAGCTGATTAGGAAAATTAAAAACAACCAAAATCCTTTTGATTATGGATTTACTGAACTTGCCCTGCAAAAGGACAACCCGGCTGTGATGACTCTGCTCTCCAAGCTCAAGTACGGCTCTGGCTGCATTTGATGAAAGCGCCGTGCGGAGCCAGCCTGTGGTGTGCCGAGCTGACGGGTGCTCCTCTGGCTCTCATTTAGAGGTCCTGACTGTACCGTACCCGTGTGGGTGTGCTGTGCAAAATAGACATTTTGGGGAATGAAATTTAGTAAACAGTTGTGATTCATTTCAATAGCTCCCACCTCTTCCCCTTGCAGTTGTGCAAAAACCGTCAAGTGTTATTGAGCTGCACGTAGAATATGACTGTCTAGAGATTGCAGCAGTCAGTTGGAAGGAGGAAACCTAAGTGCCAGTCACTATTTCAAGAAACATTTGTATATTTTTATATTGAAAATTCATTGGTTAAAATAAAGAACCACCATTGGCACAGAGGCCAGAGCTCACATCTATCTCTCTTCAGGACAAGGCTGTGGGCTGTAGACTGAGGAGCTAGAACCCCTAGAGCCTGATTTCTATGAACATGGTGACTCCACTTGGCTTTCTGGATCCAATTCTGGGGACCATATGCACAAAAGTTACACAGAGCCTGCATTTTAGGTGTGTAAATACTTTCTATCAATTAGTCTCTCCATTTCTGCAAGCAGGAAGGCTGTTCTGACACCCTCTTCAAAGGGCTGGACTACATGCAAAAAATAGCTTCAGTGTTAAAGTTTTTTATCTGAATTCCCTGAGATGCAGATAGTTGCTTATTAGCATTCATCTTGAAGTCATCCTGTGGAAAAACTTTGTGCAGCTGTAGAGGAAGTTCAGTGTGATGCAGTCAGTGAAATTTTGTTACCTGCTGCAAGACAGCCAACGTTTCAAGATGAAAATCTCATAGATTAGGATTGGCGTTAAACCGGGAAGGAAGATACTGTTTATTAAGAAATTACTTTTGGAATGGGAGTATCAGGGAAGGGCACCTGCATCAAGAATTTTGGCTTCAGAGTGATTACTGAATACTATCATCTCTTCATAAGTATTCTGTGTTTGGATATTTGTTTAATTTTCCTTTTGTTTTGCCTAGTATTTCTTTTAGATATTTTGGCAGCTTCATTGGAAAGAGAAAAAAAAAAGCGGGGGGGAGAGTTTTAGCAGAATCACTGAATGGTGGAGGCTGGAAGGCACCTCTGGAAGCCATCTAGTGCAGAGCAGGGTGCCCCAGACCATGTCCAGTGTGGTTTTGAATACCTCAGAAGATGGACATTTCATGATTTGTTGGTGAGTTTAACATTTCTAGAGGTTATTAGCTGAGGACAAAAGAAAGACAAAATGTGAGCTCAGGAGCCTCATTTCCTTAAGGAAGTGGAATAAAAAAATGGCAACAGATTGTCACTTGGGAAAAAGATCTACCAGCCAAGGGAGAGAAATTGG